GCTGGATTCAGGTGTCTGAAGGGGTTTTAACCTCTTCAACGACGTTGGATGGGAGACGGGAGGGAGGAAGGGGGCACTCCAGGATTCTCTAGTGCCAGGAAAACGGGTTTGTTTTCCTGGCACTAGAGAATCCATTTAAAATATGAACTTTTGATCTAATAATCAAGTATCGGTTTATGATATGCAATCCCTAGAAAAACACTATTAATAAACTCCATTGCTATATATATATACATACACACACACACATACACTATATATATATATACACATACAAACACACACATACACTATATATATATATATAATCCATCCATTGCTATATATATATATATATATATATTTTATTTTTATTTTTTTTATTTCATTTTGCTTAATTTGCACTGCTTATATTACAGAACTGGCAAGCAGGCAAATATCAAGCAAATGAGTAAAAAATAATATTCAGCAACATTTTTCAGCTACTTTTTCAGCTGAGCTATAATTGTGTATTAAGTTTTGTACCAAGTTTTCTACATTTAATTCTGTAGGATGAAATTAAGGGCCAGGATAGTCGTACTGAAGTAAACAAACCTAATTCTAAATTTAAAAACTCAATTGCCAAGTCACCAAAACTCACATTTATTTGCATATTCCTATATGTTGTATATTTTAGTATTTAGCTTATTTCCTATTTATTAAATTGGTGTATTATTATAAAAATATTCTGTGATCGTAAATTCCCCAGGTGATGTATTGCCAATTTTTACCTTTTCAACAAAGGATATACTTAAAGAGTATCCAACACTATGGAATAATATACAATTTGCAAGAAACAACAAGAAAATATAATTTGCATACATAAAACAGGATTTGCATACATAAGCATTATTATTGCTTGTATTCATAATGCATCAACATAGCGCAGTACAATAAGTACATGAAATAATGGGATTAATTTGTTTCATAGTGTATTTAAATTATGGGTCCTCCTTCTTGGAGTTATATGGTGCATGTGGAACACTCACTGGGCCCTGCCAATACAACATTTTTCATAGAGAAGCATTAAGTCCTGTGCTTCACTCAAAGAAAAGTGCAAATTTCTTTGAGTGAGCGCTCAAAGTCTTACTGCCAGACAGGAGAGTGCAACATGTTTATAAAAGTGGAGAATTCCTTAAATCTTCTGTGACAGAACCGTCTGTCTGTGGATTGTGTTTATTCTCCCTCCGTTTGTCTGTTTGTTCAGTTATCTCCTTGCCCATACAGTCCCTGTGTGTTCCCTTGTTATTTCCCGAAAGACACACAAAGGTGCGACCACCGGGAAGCTGGCGTATGCCGCCAATTGACCTCCCCGTAGCTAGCGTGTGCCGTCAATTGACCACCCAGTAGCTGCGGTTAACCGCAGCTTAATTGACTGTTACCGGGTGGTCGCGGTTACAAATGGCGGCATTCTACAGCTCCTGGACAGCCAGCGGTGTTCAGCCCAGCCTCAGTAAACTAAAAATGGACACTTTTACTCGCGAACACCGCTGAGCTGCCAGCCTTCCCTGCTTCTAGCTCCGCTCGTATTGCCAAACGGCGGAGCAATCTGGACTTTGTATTTAGTGAATGTTGTACCCAGATAGCTATGCCGTGGAGCCTATTCGTGTAATAAAAGACTTTGGCTCCATGGCAATTGAACTGTATGTGTGTGGTCTGAGTGCCATTCAGTAATAATGTGCGCTCAGACCTAAGCTATCTGGGGATGTGTTACACGTATATGTTTTATGTATCATTCGTGACATTGTGTATTTTATTGCATTTCTCTCTCCTGTTGTCACCTCGTGGGTAATGGTGATTTGCCTCTGTCCTGGGAGATAATTGAATTACTTCCCAATTATCCCCAGGACAGAGAGGCGGGAACGCAGTGTATCCTGGGAATGTTTTACCCCTTGTATGTCTGTCCTTGATACGTGTCTGTCCCTTGTCACAGTCTCCCAACTGGTCCCCTAGGGGAGTGTCCACCAGGTGGGAGACCTGCATAAATACTGGGCAGGTAGCCTCAATAAATCAGAATCCTGTTTTACCCTCAATACGGAGCTTGGTCTCGTGATTGGGGGGATTGCTACTGTGGAGTATTCTTTTGCCTGTTCCAGGAGAGAAGGATTTCGTATATTTCACGTTCGGTGGGTTCGAGTGTTCGTGATGCTGTTCCCTTATAAAGGTGAATCCCTTAATCGGTATTAACCCTCACTACACCGGGTTATACAGTAATATCTACTTTCTGTGTCATAGAGTACAGGAAACAAGTAACCCCAGATGTTCAATCTCTTTAATAATCAATGAGGGAGAGCGTGCTCACATGAACTACAATGGCAGATTAAAAAGGAATCTTCTTGAAAAGGTTAGAACATTGGACACTTAAGAACTAATAGTGTAAAAAAGTAGGACCACCACCACCACTATAAAGGGAGCTTCTATTTATTGTAATATACGGTTGTATAGGTGTAACCATAGATTTTTGAGCATCCTATATAGATAATGTAACAATGTATACCCTCACCATGATTTTAGTATAGGGAGTATACTCGGTTTTCAATAAAGTATATTCAGTGAGCTGAAAACTGCAGAATATGCTGGGTTCCTCTAATACTTCCTTTGCTTGGAAATGTTCTGTGTTCTTCTTATATTTCTCTAATGTTTCCTGTACGCAGGAAGGTTGTGTGTTCTTCTAATGTTTCCTCTGCGCATGAAGCTTGTGTGTTCCTCTAATGTTTCCTATACGCAGGAAGGTTGTGTGTTCCTGTAATGTTTCCTATACGCAGGAAGGTTGTGTGTTCCTCTAATGTTTCCTATACGCAGGAAGGTTGTGTGTTCCTGTAATGTTTCCTATACGCAGGAAGGTTGTGTGTTCCTCTAGTGTTTCCTATGCGCAGGAAGGTTGTGTGTTCCTGTAATGTTTCCTGTACGCAGGAAGGTTGTGTGTTCTTCTAATGTTTCCTCTGCGCATGAAGCTTGTGTTCCTCTAGTGTTTCCTATACGCAGGAAGGTTGTGTGTTCCTGTAATGTTTCCTATACGCAGGAAGGTTGTGTGTTCCTCTAGTGTTTCCTATGCGCAGGAAGGTTGTGTGTTCCTCTAGTGTTTCCTATGCGCAGGAAGGTTGTGTGTTCCTGTAATGTTTCCTATATGCAGGAAGGTTCTGTGTTCTTCTAATGTTTCCTGTGCGCATTAAGCTTGTGTGTTCCTCTAGTGTTTCCTATACGCAGGAAGGTTCTGTGTTCTTCTTATATTTCTCTAATGTTTCCTGTGCGCAGGAAGCTTGTGTGTTCCTCTAGTGTTTCCTATACGCAGGAAGATTGTGTGTTCCTCTAATGTTTCCTGTGCGCAGGAAGGTTGTGTGTTCCTCTAATGTTTCCTATACACAGGAAGGCTGTGTGTTCCTCTAATGTTTCCTGTGCGCATTAAGCTTGTGTGTTCCTCTAATGTTTCCTGTACGCAGGAAGGTTGTGTGTTCCTGTAATGTTTTCTATGCGCAGGAAGGTTGTGTTTTCTCTAGTGTTTCCTGTGCGCAGGAAGGTTGTGTGTTCTTCTAATGTTTCCTGTGTGCAGGAAGGTTGTGTGTTCCTCTAATGTTTCCTGTGCGCATTAAGCTTGTGTGTTCCTCTAGTGTTTCCTATACGCAGGAAGGTTGTGTGTTCCTCTAATGTTTCCTATGCGCAGGAAGGTTGTGTGTTCCTGTAATGTTTCCTGTACGCAGGAAGGTTGTGTGTTCTTCTAATGTTTCCTCTGCGCATGAAGCTTGTGTTCCTCTAGTGTTTCCTATACGCAGGAAGGTTGTGTGTTCCTGTAATGTTTCCTATACGCAGGAAGGTTGTGTGTTCCTCTAGTGTTTCCTATGCGCAGGAAGGTTGTGTGTTCCTCTAGTGTTTCCTATGCGCAGGAAGGTTGTGTGTTCCTGTAATGTTTCCTATACGCAGGAAGGTTCTGTGTTCTTCTAATGTTTCCTGTGCGCATTAAGCTTGTGTGTTCCTCTAGTGTTTCCTATACGCAGGAAGGTTCTGTGTTCTTCTTATATTTCTCTAATGTTTCCTGTGCGCAGGAAGCTTGTGTGTTCCTCTAGTGTTTCCTATACGCAGGAAGATTGTGTGTTCCTCTAATGTTTCCTGTGCGCAGGAAGGTTGTGTGTTCCTCTAATGTTTCCTATACACAGGAAGGCTGTGTGTTCCTCTAATGTTTCCTGTGCGCATTAAGCTTGTGTGTTCCTCTAATGTTTCCTGTACGCAGGAAGGTTGTGTGTTCCTGTAATGTTTTCTATGCGCAGGAAGGTTGTGTTTTCTCTAGTGTTTCCTGTGCGCAGGAAGGTTGTGTGTTCTTCTAATGTTTCCTGTGTGCAGGAAGGTTGTGTGTTCCTCTAATGTTTCCTGTGCGCATTAAGCTTGTGTGTTCCTCTAGTGTTTCCTATACGCAGGAAGGTTGTGTGTTCCTCTAATGTTTCCTGTGCGCAGGAAGGTTGTGTGTTCCTCTAATGTTTCCTATACACAGGAAGGCTGTGTGTTCCTCTAATGTTTCCTGTGCGCAGGAAGGTTGTGTGTTCCTCTAATGTTTCCTGTGCCCAGGAAGGTTGTGTGTTCCTCTAATGTTTCCTATACACAGGAAGGCTGTGTGTTCCTCTAATGTTTCCTGTGCGCAGGAAGGTTGTGTGTTCCTCTAATGTTTCCTGTGCGCAGGAAGGTTGTGTGTTCCTCTAATGTTTCCTGTGCGCATTAAGCTTGTGTGTTCCTCTAGTGTTTCCTATGCGCAGGAAGGTTGTGTGTTCCTGTAATGTTTCCTACTCATAAAGAGTCTTTGTTTCTCGAAAGTTTCCTATGCTCAGGAAGCTTCTCAGTTCTTTGATTAGTTCAATTCACTGAATTTTAAATAGTTAAGAATTGACAAAGGGAGTTGATAACAGGACTCTGGTCAGTATGCTGTTGTTCTTTAAACTGTATCCGTTCAAGAAACGTCCGTATACCGATAATGTTTCAGGGAGATGCCATATCCATTAGTGGCTTTTCTGCTCAGGGAGGTGCAGTAAGATCCATCCAGCTGGGGTAAAAATACCCATTGCAAAAACTGTAAGTCCAATGACCGTATCCTAGAAAATGTAAAAAAAATAAAAAAAATTTAAACTCACAACTCCTTTATAAACTGTTAGCAAAAATATAATGAGACAAAATTTAGCAATCAATCATAGGTATGGTTACAGACAGAGAGCTGTATAATTAAACATACTGAAACAAAAAGAGCAGAGAATCCTACCCAAGGTTTTTATTCTAACATTTGAAGAGTTGTTATAGTTTGATATGGGTATGTATTCCACCATTGACTGAGTTGCCATTTCTATATCTCCTTCTATCTTTTATAACACTTTCTATATCACACCTGTAAGACCACCTAATATAGTAAGCCAATGACATTGACTAAAGCACCGTTGCCAACTCATCTGACCAAGTAGGAAGGTGTATCAAGCAGTACAATGTAGTGATACCAATCTTCTTATGTGTGGCTGTTACCAGATCTGAGCACATTGGATTAACTGAGATGATCAAGAGGCTGGGCCAGACATGGCAAGACCACCATGGCGGTGGAGAAAACAAATAAGCAACCTTTAATTTCCACAGGGGGCCAGGGACCTAATGAAGTACTCCAGCACTGTAGTGTCAGGAATATATGTTTGCATTCCCGATACTACAGTGTTCCTTTAACCCCTTAAGGACACAACTTCTAGAATAAAAGGGAATCATGAGGGAATATATCCGTCATGTGTCCTTAAGGGGTTAAAGGAACACTCCAAGCGCCATAACCACTTCTGCTCACTGTTGTGGTTATGGTGCAAAGAGTGAATTGGTGCGCTCACAGAGTAAGTAGTCAAACTGTTCTCAAAACAGGTAGACAATATACCTGGAGTCTGCCGGACACCCACCATACCCTCATCTGCAAACTGAAGTTTCTGCAGGGAGCTTGCATTATCTCTACTGAGCAAAGCCCAGCACTACAGGGCCCGCTTATTAACCAAGGGCCTCAGCTGTGCACTCTGTGTCAGTGAGCACGGCCCTGCACCACCAAGATGCTCAGTCTCAGAGTTTATGGCTGCAGAAGAAGTGACGGGGCATTTTGTGCGCCCCCCCAATTGTCAAACCATTTATACCGGCTCTGTATTGTTTTTTGTTTTTCTTTCAGTTTTCCTTTCCTTATGCACTTTGTATCTTTTTTTTTATTCTTTTTTTTTTTTTTCTTTATATTGGGTATTTGTGCACCGAGAAAACCGTTTGTTATAGAATTGGATAAACATACAATCAGGGAGGGTTCGTAAACATGTAACATTATCTAATATAGTACGATACAGTTGCGCCGTCTTTTCAAGTTAGGTTGCAATCAAACAGTGTATTTTGCCGGTTTGGGCTCTAATGCACAGCTTTATAAGAGGACTGTGCTGCTCATTTTGTTAAATATGTTGTGGATTATTTAAGCCGGGTTAGGTATGACTAGGGTTAGCAGCCTTTGTGCATTTGCCTTGTCCACTCATGGACAGTTTTGGGTTTGCTTCCGTTCACCTGGTATCAGGTATTTCTGTGTTGGGCTCCATTGCGGGTGTGCAGTCGAGCCGTGTATGCCATTAAGTTAGTGTATATTTGTTCTGGCGTTGTCCGTGGGCTTTTGGTTGGTTATGAGGAGAGTGGGAAGGGCCCTTGTGGACATGCCATGCATTACACTCCCCTCTTTGACACTTGCCTTCATTTTTAAAAATTATTTCTTTATTCCTTGTGCATGAGCTTAAAGTCTGTGTGCCTCCATTTTGTTCTCCTCTGTCCATGATGTCTGCAGTTTTCCCTTCTGTGGGGATTCTTTTGACTGATGGATTGGGGTTAAAGGTCACAGACCACATGAGAAAAGGTAGTACCTACATTTTCTTATGTATAACTTCAAAAACTACAGTGAATTTCAAAGGAGAAATAGACGGACATAAAAGGATTTATTTAACAGCAAAATCTGCAGAGTTGCTTTAAGATCAGTTTGACTACTACTCTAGCAGGGTGTCATGGTACTCCCTGTAACATAACCACGATACTAGACTCCAATGGTATTGTTGCTTGGAGTGCTTCTTGTACCAAGATACTTTGTTTGTGGCAAATGCTTTAGGATAAACAGAAACATTACACACAAAAATGACTAATTTCAGTGCCCATTTTATCTGGTATAAAATTTCTCGTTTTCTAAGAAAGTTTTTCTAATAGCTAAAAAAAGTTCAGATTTGTGCGTCATTGGTAGAGATTACCAACGATAAAGAGTACTGTTTACCGTAATTTGCAGACCACCCATTGCATTCTAATGTCATCAGACAAACGTCAGTTCAAGTCCCTTTATTTTGGCAAAGAACGGACGTTAGAAAAATAAACACAAGCAAGGCTAACTTATGAGACGCAAAGCAGGCAAGGACATTAGGATAATCACTGTAAATGCATTAGCATTTTTTTAATCACAGATAAAAACAGACATATATTGGTATGTACCATATACTGACAAAAATTAGGTCTTTACTGCAATTACCATAATGTGACTTAAGGCAGCCACTAGGCCCCAGGGGTTAGATGGAGCCTGGATGTCATGAAGATACTTTGCAAAACTTGGTCCATTCTCCATGCCAATGTATGACACCTATATAAATCATCTTAATCAAATCCTCCTTGCTGTCCATCAGTTTCCTGCCTTGCTTATCCAGGGTTTTCTACCTAGCATTTTTTTTAAGTATAGGCAAAAGTGAAGGAAACTGGGCAGAATTGGCAAAACGCGCAGATTAACACTCACCGCAACGTCATGCGCGCATATTTTGCAGTACTCGTCTCTCATACAATTTTCAATGTGATATAATATAGTTCAATTAAGTAGCTCGTCGCAGACATGCACAATTTGTCCATAAAGTGTCTAAATGAAAAACCTCTAATTAGACAACGTGTTTTTGGGGGGTTATATTTTTAGAAAGGAGCGTTTGGCTACTGACAGTTTAAACAATCAGTAGCGACTAATTAATTTTTAAAGAAACTCTCCAAGCACCAAAACCACTACAGAACTTCTACCCTCCTCCACCCTCTCCCCTCCACCCCCTCTCTCTGTAAGCAGATAAACTGTTTTAGAACAGTTTAAATTTGTACCTGGTGTCTGCCAGTATCTACTCCCTGCCTCTACTACCACAACCAGAGAGCCAGAAATGTTATGCCTAAACAAAGACTGATGGTGTAGGACTTGGCTCCGGCCAGCTAATAGAGACTTTTTAGCAGGAACATCTGACTCTCTGACTGAGGTAGTGGAGATGGGGAAAGGTGTCAAGTGGTCATCACATAAGTCAAACTGTTCTAAAACAATTTGACTATTTACAAAGTACTGTACTTGTTATGGTCCATGGAGTGTTCATTTAAGGTTTTGGTAGAAAAGCTTTTATCATACCTTTGTAGACCCAATACCTACAAATTGAATCACATAACAAAATCTATTACGAACCCGCAGATAAAAAAAAAGTTAGCAGGTGTTTTCTGAACAAACACTAAATCTCACCAGTGTTGTTACTTATGTTGTTGCCAAACCAGTTGACTGTATTGGCTCTGTATTCACTCTCTATTCACTAAAGGAGTATGATATTCCTGTTTCGTAAGGACGCCATACGACTCTTAGAACTTTAAAGATTGGCAGGGTACCAGCTATCCTGATTAGTGGTCGGCAGGACTGACTGCTTAAGGCTGGATGGATTGTCTGTTCTCCAGCTTGTAGGGCAGAAAGTACAAAAAATAAATCAATTCACATGAAAGAACAAAGACACACAGAGACTCTCCATTCAAAGCTTTCTCTGATTAGTGAATAAATATGGTCATTGTGTAGTCTCTGAAAAGCCCATTCTAAACTCAGACCTTGGCATAGTGTTGAAAGTAACCAATGCCGATTATGAGTTTGCTACTAAAAGGGTCAAGTAAGTAAAATGAAATTCTCAAAGTAATGGGGAAATGTTCAGAAAGAAATCTGAACTACAGTTTTTCAGGGTGTGTATTGAGGGCAATTAGAGGGAAAACAGATGAAGAATATTAATACAAAATAAAGAGAGGGAGAGACTGAAAAAAAGTGTGAGAGCTGCCCTGGACACTCTAGATGTCTATGATCACTAAAGCAATGAAGAATAGCTGAGCATCATGGGACATGTAGTTCAGAAATACTGCAGTGCCCAGGTTAGCCACGACTCGACTGCTAGAGATAATGACTGAAGTTTTCAATCCAGGTGTTCCTTGTTTAGTAAATATACTTGTAGTTGCAAAATATAAAACCAAAAAAAAAATATGTAAAACATAAAAATAAAACCCATTGATTTAAACGTGATATCTACTGTGGTTGGCATGTAGAGACATGAGACTTTACAGGCACGCATTCTTGGCTGCATAGAGACTTTGAATTAGACATCATTATAAAGAAAATAGGAGGTATCGCCTTTCATATTTCTGCCTGGTAAATGTGACTACAGAGTTTTAACTGGTTTTAATACAATTTGAGACATTAAATAAGATCAGGCTGCACAAAGGGAATTAAAAATTCAACTCCAGGAAAGGCATTTGATCAGCAAGATTTCATAGAAACATGTAAAATATGAATGAATCCAGTCTTTGCAGAGACACAAGAAAGTCCTACATATTCCATTGATGTCCAGAACAATAGGCATCGGTGATCTTTATATTTTTATTAGTCATTATAGGGCACATGAAAAAAAATCCAAGATTTAATGTTTGTTTATTGCATTATTATTTTTATTGATGTATTGTATCTGTAGCAGGGGTAAGCAACCTTCAGCATTCCAAATACCGTGGACTGTATCTCCACTAATGCTTTGCCAGCATTATTGCTGTAAGTGCATTATGGGAGATGTAGTCCACGAGATTTGGAGTGCTTAACCTACACTTTTAGCATAACTAACATTATAACCATAGCATTATAACGATAAAATTGTAAATATAGCATTATAACCAGAGGATTATAAATATAATAGCATTAATAGTGCATTAAAACTACAACTTTATAACCATAATTATTGCATTATAACTAGAGCTGTATAGCTATAGCATTAACTATAACAATTGTATTATAACTATTGCATTATAGCTATCACTATAATTATAGCACAGTGGATTATAACTATAACATTGAAAACTTTAACAGTATAACTATAACGTAACTATAGAATGATAACTATAACATTCTAACTGTTGTATAAGAACTAGAATTGTATAACTTTTACATAACTATACCATTGTAACTACAATATTGTAACTAGTGCTTTATAACCATAACTTTATAACTGTAGGCTTATAACTATAACATGAAAATCACATTTTAACTATAGCAGTATAGCTATAACATAACTACAGTTTCATAACTATGGCATTATAACTATAACAGAAAAATACCTATAACTATAACAATATAACTACGATATTATAACCAGTTGTGTAACTATAGCGTTAAAACTAGAACATAAATATAGCAGTACAACAAATTATTATAACTATAACATTGTAACTACAGTTATATGAATGGAAGTTTATAACATTATACATATAGCACTATAACGATAACATACCTAGAACATTATAACTATAGTATTAGAACTTGATCTTTAATACTAGAACATTAGTTATAATTAGAGCATTTTTAAAATCATTATTGAATTTGGTTTTGATGTTCTGCTGTATTCCAGATGCAAAAATGAATATTACAGTTGAAAAATATTAGACAAGTTTAAACATGAAAAGTGCTGATAGCAGATAGAATTTGTGTTGTAGATTGTAAGCTTTTAGGTTCAGTGACTGGCATTACTTTACTCTTAAACTCTTTCTTCCCTGATGAGATCATGCAACAAATGTGAGACGTTTTAAAAGGACGTGGTTACTACTGGATTACACTGTTATTGTTTGCATGAGTGATTGTCACAAATTGTTGTGTGTTCTTAAAAAAATGTTGAAATACTTACCATGGGGCCAACTTTTCCCTTGGGGGGCTTGCTGTGAATACTGGTGGTCCGTTTCTGTATCATAGCTTGGAATGAACGTGTGGGGATAGAAAAGATCTTCTGTAGTGCAGTGGACATCTCTGCCAGTAGCTGGGGCAGAGGATACTTGAAACAGGACAAAGAGATAAACAGCACAGCAGTGAATACTATTAGCTACTGTGCTTGGGTTAGCTCTCTAGAGAAGAATAACATTGGCCTTGTCTGGTGTGGGAACTTGATAGAACTGAACCGTCCTGGAGAAAGGTGGAGCTCAAGGAAAAAAATAAAAACGACCCATTAATAGAGAACTGGACAGATGACACACTCTCTGCCATACTGCTTGATTACATTATTATCTAATTTACTTTCATTATTAAGGCTGTTTGATATGAATGACTTTGAAAGGTGTCTGTGCTTTGGGCCCTTAATCGCATTTATTGTTAATGGTTAAAAGGATTTAGTTTAGCTTTAGGATTAAGAAGTCTTAGGTTTAAAGGAGAACTGTCACCTCTCCAGAAATGACCTAATTGGATAAAACATTAAAAATCACCTATGACTTATGTTGAGCTTTTTTTTAATGGTATGCCCATTTATCTTTAACTTTATATTATAGGTTCAGCAAATTACACCATTCTAGTTCAGACGTGGCAAAAGCAGGGGAAACATTGCAAAGGAAGAGCGGAAGCAGAAACATTGTTACATTTGCCAGTCGCAACGGACAGCGCCTAGAACAATGATTGACAGGGAGCTAAAATGGAAGCACCCATTCGCAGCATAAAGAAGTGTGGATTTCTACACCTGATTTTATTTTTCACACCTTACAAATACATATTTGTTAAATATACGAATAGGTAAACGTAATGCTGAAAATCCTAAGAAGTGAGAGGTCCTCTTTAAGCAAGACTTCAAGTAAAGGTGTTGCTGACTGTACTGCATGTTACCCTTCCATAAAGTGCAGGTACATTCAGGTTTATGTCTTTATTTGCACTTATGTACATGGGGGAACATTCTTAAAACCTTGATTGAGAGTGGTGTCCTTGGCATGGGATGGACATTCTGCTGCTTTGGTACAAATTTTCCTTTATAAGGGCACTGGCCTTTGACTCCAAGCTTGGTCATTGTTCTTCTTTGTGTTCACAGTGTAGGACCAGTGTTGGTAAGCCTTGTCTCTGTCTTGTCTATGTTGCCTGAGATGCTTTGCTAGTACTTTTTACCTTGCTCCAGGTTGACCCTGCACAAAATCGCCTATTAACAGATGGATTTTGTTTGTGAATTCAGGTTCCAGGGCTATGGATTGGAACCTGTTCAGGAGTTTTCTACATTCTGACCCAAGTGCCAGACTTGACGTGTCCTGGTCCTGCTTCTCTCACCGACACGGTCTAGTCTTCGTGTTCGATGTTTACCTATAGACTGGAGTGGACTCTGGACTATGAGATTGCTTGTGGCTGCTTATTAACACAGAACTGGTTGTAGCATTTGTTAAGGAAAGAGCATTTTCTCTTTGTCATGAATGCTTTAAAGGGCCACCCCAGAAAACGCCTGTTACTGCACAAGCAGCTTCTGTTACAATTTCTTCTAGATCAATTCTGGCCAAACTGTGACCCTTACTTCATTACACAAAATTTAATTACGCAACTGCAAAATGTTCACAAAATTTACTACACAGTTTAACCTTCATCCATGATTTTACACACGCTTGATGCATAATAATATTGATCATAAAGCCGGGGAAAAAAAACTACTTATATAATTTTTTTGTTCCCAAGGAGGTTTAAAACATTAAAGGACCACTTCCTACTCATAAAGAACTTTAGGTTGCTGAAATGCTTTATGGATGAGGAGTACCCCATAATAATTACATTTTATAAACATGCCCGTTTCTATTAGAAATTTGCACTTTTATAAATATTTCATAAAACATTCCCCTGGCTGTCAATCAAACAGCCAGGGAGGTTTCTTTCTCCTTCTGTTAGCTCCCCTGAGCTAAAGAAAGTGGCAGATGCCCTCTTGATGAGTGCACCTGTCTCCCCCCTATATACCTCAGATCAGGCTGCTGCGCATGAACTGTAGGAGATCTTAAGAGTATATTCAATGAGAAGCCCCTGATTGGCTATTCCCCATAAAGAGACTGAAAGGGAAAAAGAGAAGAGCTTGCTATGGCTGCAGTTCATAAGAATCGCAGTTTCTGCAAAGTGTTTTAAGATATATCCCCAATGAATACATGAATAAAAGCGCATGCATATATTCATTGCGGACATATCTACTAAACAGTGATTTACATTTTTTTGGGAAGTGGAGTGTTCCTTAAATATTAAATCTCAGATTTAATGTTGTCACCAGCTGGTAAATGTTACTACAGCTCAACTCAATGATACTAATTATATGCAGTTAAAATCCCCCCTGCATTGGGTTTCAGTTTTTTTAAAGGTATTTGGTGAGGAAGTGGACTTAGTTCGTATTTAAAACATAAAAAATTTGGTGTAATTATAGTCACAGAGTCAAGAGTGCCCATCTCTATCAGTGATCTCCCCTCCGTATCTGAGAACGTTTTCTGTAGGGAAAATGCGTAGATTTGGTTGGAGTGTAGAAGTGGAATATAGTTGGGTATTTAGAAGAGCAGAAATCAGTAGGACTGCATTCACAAAGAAGCCAGTTTCCTGCAAGCATACTACAGGGAGTGCAGAATTATTAGGCAAGTTGTATTTTTGAGGATTAATTTTATTATTGAACAACAACCATGTTCTCAATGAACCCAAAAAACTCATTAATATCAAAGTTGAATATTTTTGGAAGTAGTTTTTAGTTTGTTTTTAGTTTTAGCTATGTTAGGGGGGTATCTGTGTGTGCAGGTGACTATTACTGTGCATAATCATTAGGCAACTTAACAAAAAACAAATATATACCCATTTCAATTATTTATTATTACCAGTGAAACCAATATAACATCTCAACATTCACAAATATACATTTCTGACATTCAAAAACAAAACAAAAACAAATCAGTGACCAATATAGCCACCTTTCTTTGCAAGGACACTCAAAAGCCTGCCATCCATGGATTCTGTCAGTGTTTTGATCTGTTCACCATCAACATTGCGTGCAGCAGCAACCACAGCCTCCCAGACACTGTTCAGAGAGGTGTACTGTTTTCCCTCCTTGTAAATCTCACATTTGATGATGGACCACAGGTTCTCAATGGGGTTCAGATCAGGTGAACAAGGAGGCCATGTCATTAGATTTTCTTCTTTTATACCCTTTCTTGCCAGCCACGCTGTGGAGTACTTGGACGCGTGTGATGGAGCATTGTCCTGCATGAAAATCATGTTTTTCTTGAAGGATGCAGACTTCTTCCTGTACCACTGCTTGAAGAAGGTGTCTTCCAGGAACTGGCAGTAGGACTGGGAGTTGAGCTTGACTCCATCCTCAACCCGAAAAGGCCCCACAAGCTCATCTTTGATGATACCAGCCCAAACCAGTACTCCACCTCCACCTTGCTGGCGTCTGAGTCGGACTGGAGCTCTCTGCCCTTTACCAATCCAGCCACGGGCCCATCCATCTGGCCCATCAAGACTCACTCTCATTTCATCAGTCCATAAAACCTTAGAAAAATCAGTCTTGAGATATTTCTTGGCCCAGTCTTGACGTTTCAGCTTGTGTGTCTTGTTCAGTGGTGGTCGTCTTTCAGCCTTTCTTACCTTGGCCATGTCTCTGAGTATTGCACACCTTGTGCTTTTGGGCACTCCAGTGATGTTGCAGCTCTGAAATATGGCCAAACTGGTGGCAAGTGGCATCGTGGCAGCTGCACGCTTGACTTTTCTCAGTTCATGGGCAGTTATTTTGCGCCTTGGTTTTTCCACACGCTTCTTGCGACCCTGTTGACTATTTTGAATGAAACGCTTGATTGTTCGATGATCACGCTTCAGAAGCTTTGCAATTTTAAGAGTGCTGCATCCTTCTGCAAGATATCTCACTATTTTTGACTTTTCTGAGCCTGTCAAGTCCTTCTTTTGACCCATTTTGCCAAAGGAAAGGAAGTTGCCTAATAATTATGCACACCTGATATAGGGTGTTGATGTCATTAGACCACACCCCTTCTCATTACAGAGATGCACATCACCTAATATGCTTAATTGGTAGTAGGCTTTCGAGCCTATACAGCTTGGAGTAAGACAACATGCATAAAGAGGATGATGTGGTCAAAATACTCATTTGCCTAATAATTCCGCACTCCCTGTATATCTGCCTTTGCCTGGTTCATCTCCCGGAAAGCCAATCTGCGTTTAAGCGTGGAGTTTAGTCTCTTCACGTTAAGGGTATGTATGGAAAGGTTAGCTTTTTTGTAAGGTATTTAGATGCTGAGGAAATGGGCTGAGCAGAACGTCCCCCACAGCCAAGACCAACAACTCACTCCTCGGGGTCTGATAACTAACGTGCAACCTAGTCCCGCACCAGTCACCACAGCACCGAACACAACATTTCTATACTTGAGGTCTTGACAAGCATAGCATCAGTATTTGCATTTAGACATTGGGCAATGGAACAGCATAGAGAGAAACAAAACTAGGAAGAAAAATGCAAGTAAAAAAAGAAATATAAACTTGAACGAAAGTATACACACCAGAGACTGTGCATGACAGAAAGTCGGCTGATGTGTTGTCCTGCAAGAGACAGGGACACCTACTGTGGATGAGGTTAACATCAATGTAATGACCCTTCTTTACTGTGCTATAACTTGCATTACCGTTATAAGCCCTCTTACAGACTTGGACCTGCGAATTAACTTTTTTTTCTAGACTTCCTCTGAGACAAACGTTTTCAGCATACAAACAAGACTATTATTCTGGCAACATGTCACGACTGTATGCCAATGTCTACCTCATGTCATGTCACGGCCATGACTTAACCCCCGCTTGCGTCAGAACATCCTAGCACATCATTACATCTAAACAAGAATTTCAAACAAAAAAATGGTGTATATATATATTTTTTATTATTATTCTTTATTTTTATTGTGCAAAGAGGAACAAACAGGCTTGTGGCGCCACGACAGCGTTGACAAGCATTGCATTAACTTACAGGAAAATACATTGCCATGGCATGAGATACTTGAACTTTTTTTTTCTTTTGTAACAAAAATAAACAAAATAATGCCTCACATGTAAATTATAAAGAAGACAGGTTAGGTAGACAGGAGTGGGTCTTTTTTTGTTTGTTTTGTTTTAATACATAGTTCCCTTTAAATGCCAAGAGTCACAACTTAAATTAATTCAAATAAATGTAACTATAAATTACACAGTAAACAATCCAGCTGAAAATTTAGAAACCACTGAACACCTACAAAAGAAAATTCAGCCACACTTAGTGAAATACAGAGAAAAGACAACACAACATGCGCCTGCTAAAGGAACACTCCAGGCACCACAACAACCATATCCAAATGAAGCCACCACAGCACTAGGAGGCCCTTTTGCATACCCTAACCCCAAGGGGCCAAACTGCCTGTCGACTCCAACCCTCTCCCCCCCCCCTCAGGTGGTCCCCAAAGCCCAAGGCTCTGGAAGTGCGAAGCTCTGCCAGGCAGGGGCACCGCCAGCCAGTCGAGAGTGACCAACTGATGCCCCCAGCCAACCAGTGACTCTCCACCCACAAAACCAGCCCAGAAAGGGTATGTTTCCCTCCGGCAGGGGCACCGCCGACTGGTCAAGAGTGACCAACCGATGCCTCCAGCCAACCAGTGATCATCTACCCACAAAACCGGCATGGAAAGGGTTTGTTTCCCTCCAAGCCATCCCTGCAAATGGGGAGTCATTGACAGGCCTAAAGTGCCATGTGACTGCTCCCCCCCCAGCCAACTTGGAACACCCCTGCTCAGCGGCCCCCTGTGACCTCAGAAACCAAGACCCGGAAGCCAGATACTGCCCATGGGGAGCCAAGACTGGCACTAGAGGCTACCCTTGGGCCAAACCTACTGAGAACTGCTGAAGGCAAGAGCACGCTGTTACGATTGCCCCCGGTCTAGCAGGGGGGTTGATCGCTTGGATGTCCTGGTTCCCGCAGTCAGAGAGTCGAACGTAGTTTCCTTTGGTAGAATCTGCAAGTGTAGAATATCCCACTAGCGA